GTTGTCTCCGGTCAGGCCACCAGGGACTCCTAGAAAGGATCACAGTATTCCAGGCTGCCTATCTGCCGACAGCTTCATTTTTACCGAGAACCTCCGACTGCAAAAAGGCAAGTGTACAGAAAAGGCTATTCATTGGCTGTGAAAGCAACTTAAACGTAGCAAGGACATTTTCCAACTAGTCCACATCCTGTTTCCTTTAGAGACAGAACACTGCAAAGTGCTAATGCAATTCACAAGTGAGGTGAGGGTCTCTCAATCACTTTCACTTTAGAATTTTACAAAAGGTCAATTTTAAAATTTCAAAGAAAATACGAAAGCAAAACCCGGAGAGCTTTATTTAGGGAAACAAAAACAAACAAAACAAAACAAAACAAAAAAAACAAAGCAAATCTAGCAAATTTTGGACAAGATTAACCTCGATTTGTTGAAAAACAAACACTGATGGGAAAAAATTATTGTGAGGCTAGCCAAGCTAACTATGGGGGCTCTGGGTGTGAGGTGAAGGATGCATTTGGCCAGGCTCCCTCTGGGCTTGAACAGGTCAGCAGAGGAAACATTGTCATGGCCTTATCTACATACGTTAAGCATACTACAGGTCACCTTGAGAAGAACACACTTTTTTCTTTCTTTCTTTGCTAATGATCCTTTATTCAGTTTTGGCTCAACAGTATCTTCCTTTTACCTCCAGCTCCCTGGGCTGTGGTAGGCATATCGAATTCTGCCAATTTTCTGCCAAACCCTTTAAATACAGGAGTCTGTGAGATTATCACAGCTTGAAGGTCCTCTGGCTCCTAAATCCCCTACTTCTTTTTTTTTTTTTAATTACATTGCATTATGTGACACCATTTTTTAGGCACTGGATTCCCCCTACTCCTCCCCTAAACCGCCCCCCATGGTGGATTCCTCCACCTTGCTGCATTGCCACAGTTCAAGTTCAGTTTGGGGTTCTTTCATTGCAAGCATATACCAAGCATAGAGTCCAGCATCTTCTTGTTCAGATAAGTTCAAGGGCTTCTTGTGGAGACCATCTCTGGTCTGAAGTGTTGTCTTGCCAATTCAAGATAGAAACAAATTTAGGGGTCAGTGTAATGTCACAGCTTGCCTAACAGGCTGGGAAAGCAGCAATACATGGCCAGTGCTGTTAGGACCCCACCATCCCTGTGGAAGACCCACAGAAAACCCTTGCTTTGGTCATGCCCAGACCTGCCTACTGCCGCCACTTAAAGTAAAGATCCATCAACTTCTTCAAATAAATCAATCTTGGGCCCAGCACAATATCTAATTGGTCAAATCTTTGCCTTGCAAGCGCCGGGATCCCATATGGGAACTAGTTCAGGTCCCAGCTGCTCCACTTCCCATCCAGCTCCCTGCTGGTGGCCTGGGAGGACAGCAGAGGACGGCTCCAAAGCCCTGGGATCCTGCATCCACACAGGGGATTCAGAAGAAGCTCCTGACTCCTGGCTTTGAATCAGCTCAGCTCCAATTGTTGTGGCCACTTGGGGAGTGAACCAGTGGACAGAAGATCTTTGACTCTCCTCCTCTCTGCAAATCTGCCTTTCCAATAAAAATAAGTAAATCTTTTAAAAAGTTTTAAAAGACAGAGGAAGATAACAAATTCTAAGAAAGAATCAACAAGGCTTATTTCTCATGACAAATTACATTCAAACAATGACAACATTGTGCAAAATCTAGAGTCTGCCCAGGAAGAATGCTTTCTTGATAGAAACCATGCCTCATTTATCCCAGTCTCCACAATGACTTGCAGTGTGCCAACACGCCAAAACATGAACACCAGCTTCCCTACCTCCCGATCAGCCCACCACAGAACAAAACTAAATGGGGAACAATCCGACTGCAAACCAGCAGAAAGCGTAACCCTATGCATGTCACAGGGAGCTTTCCAAGCCAGGACTAAATTCTGTGAGGTCTGAAGGCCTTTGCATAGGAAGACAGTTGATTCTATTAGCCTCAACTGGTTACCATTTACACAGACTGAAAAATTCCACTCCAGAGCAGTTCAAGTGAGGTGCCACACTCCTGGGGCGGGCAGAAGTTTTTCGACGGGCTCACAAATATTTGTTGTTTTAAAGGAATCATTTTCTAGATCCTCAACTCTCATCACTATTTCTTCCTACAAACAGAGGGATATGTAAATACATATTCCCCTCACTCCCCTTTCAAAATCACAGGTTTCCTACTCAGCAAAATAAAGGCTTTTCATCCATCCTGAACTGTACTAGGCTTTACCGCTCTGCTGTACAAGAACTCCAGTGTAGTGCCAAATCAGGGGGACAATGTCAGCATCAATAATAATGATAAAAGTGAGTTAATAACTGCTTAGCAAATCCTCTGGCAAGGAAGGTGACTGCAAAGTCTGTTTTTAACAAAACTGAAAGATCTAATTGTCAGTTAATAGCATTCAAACATCTTTAAGCTGAATCACCTTTTGACATCTAACTCAGTTTAAAAAGTTCAATAATTGCTACAATAAAGCACTTTCATTCCTATTTTATCACTCTCAGCACTCACATCTGGAAAAAAAACCCACCTGCGAAACAGCTGAAGCTTCTTCCAGGTCCCCCACATGGGTGCAAGGGCCCAAGGACTTGAGCCATCTACTGTTGCTTTCCCAGGCCACTAGCAGGGAACTGCAAGGGAAGTGGAGGAGCAGGGACTTGAACCAGTGCCTACAGAAGATGCTGGAGCCTCAGGAGGTGGTTTTACTACGCCACAAGCCCTGAGAACCACTTGTAAGAATTAAAAGCCTAACAGGCAGGCATTTGGCTGAGCGGTTAAGTCACCCACAATAGTAGAATGCCTAGGTTCCACACCCAGCTCCGGGTCTTAACTCCAGCTTCCTGCTAATGCAGACCTTGGGGCCAAGAAATCAGGTTCCTGCCACCTCCTCAGCGGACCTGGATGGAGTTCCCAGCTCCCAGCTTTAGTCCAGCATCAGTTACTGCAAGCTTTTAAGGGGTTAACCAACAAATGGGAGTGATCTCCTTCACTGGCTCTCTAATTAAAAACAGATATAATCCCATTTCTAAGATTTCAAAGAGCAAAGCCCAAACCAAGGGATACAATGTAAGATTTCTGCTAAAAAGCTTATTTGTGAATTTTCTGTTCAATGTATAATGATGTAAATCACTGTGAAGATATTACACTGGATAAGTTTAGAAGAATGAAGCTTTAAATTCTAAGGATTGACAATATTATAGAATTTACATCCTTCACATCTTGTTAAGATTTTTAGAAATTTAACCATTAGTCTAAAAAGTATATGAAGGTATACATTCACATAGTTTATGCAGCACATACATTCAAAAGTTCAACGAGGAGAGACAATTGTGGTGCAGAACTGGGCCCAGGTTCTCAAACTTGTTTTTGAAGTAAAAATAATTGGAATCCGCTTGAGCTTCTTAAAAATACAAGTCCCAGGCCTGGTGCAATGGCACAGTGGTTAAATTCTCCCCTTGTAAGCACTGGGATCCCATATGGGCACCAGTTTATTTCCTGGCTGCTTCACTCCCCATCCAGTTCCCGGCTTATGGAGTATGAAAGCAGTAGAGGACAGCAGAAATGGGGCCCTGCAATGGCTTTGGAGACTCCTGGCTTCAGACTGGCTCCCTCTAGCTGTCATAGCCATTTGTGGAGTGAACCAGCAGATGTAAAATCTTTCTCTGTCTCTCCTCTCTAAATCTGATCTGCTTTTCCAATAAAGAAATCTTTAAAAAGATAGATAAGGGCCCAGTGGTGTGGTCTAGTGGCTAAAGTCCTCGCCTTGAATGTGCTGGGATCCCATAAGGGTGCCGGTTCTATTCCCGGCAGCTCCACTTCCCATTCAGCTCCCTGCTTGTAGCCTGGAAAGGCAGTCGAAGACAGCTCAAAGCCTTGGAACCCTGCACCCATGTGGGAGACCCAGAAAGAAGTTCCTGGCTCCTGGCACAGGTTCCTGGCTCCAGATCGGCACAGCACCGGCCCGTTGCGCTCACTTGGGGAGTGAATCATCAGACAGAAGATCTTCCTCTCTATCTCTCCTCCTCTCTGTATATCTGACTTTGTAATAAGAATAAATAAATCTTTAAAAAAGAAGATAGATAAACAAATAGATAATTAATGAAGGCTCTATCCAAATATTCTGTAACTGAACAAGTTCTCCAAGTAATTTTTATCCATTTTACTGTAGGAGACGCACTACTCTAGACTAGCTTTCAAAATGTAACACATCTCGTTCAGCTGGACAGCTTCTAAACAGCAGCCACTGGGTCCTAATCTTAGACTTTGACTTCATAAACCCACATTAGTACACCGACTTTCATGCACCCTCTCCACCAACTCTCCCGGGAATGTGGGTGCCGCTGTTCTGCAATCACACTTTGAGAACCAACCAGTCTATGGAGAACTGTGGAATCATCTTTTGGGTCTGTAATTGACCCTGACCCTTCAATCGGTTCCCCCGCTACATTCACTCTTGTATCTCCTGAATACACTTGGCTGTTTCATACCTCATCACAAAATGACTTAACACCTGCCTTCCCCACTTGAATTTGATCAAGTGAAAAAAACTCTACATGAATTTCGTTCTGTTTACCCAGCATTCAAGAACAGTATCTACTTCACAGTATATATTAAAACATATGTTTGTTGATAAATAACTGAAATTTGTTGCACTGATTCCATGACACCCCCATCAGCAGCCCTGGTCTGCCTGGTTCCGCCCAGGGTTGAGGAGCACCGCAAGTCTTCGTTACCAGAACTGTGCATCCTACTGTACTCTACTCAGTATCAACATTTTGGTCAAAAACCAAAGAAAATCACCTGCAACATGCATTTTTCCACTCCAGTATTAGTCCTAACAAGTGAACAATGGTTTTAATTATAGGGTGTAAGTACACATAAAATCAAGACAGTCGATGACAAAATTTACATCACACTTAAAAAAACTGGCTGTTGGATGGCAGCTTTGGTATAGGGATTAGATGGCGAGTGAGCTAACTTACCCTCTTTTGCCAAATACAACTCCTTAAATTTTGCTCTCTTCTGATTAAACTCTTGTTCAAGCTGCTGCTGTGCACGTAAAAATTCTGCGTTAATTTTTTCCAACTCGGCTACCCGCTGCTGAAGTGAAACTGGAAAAAAAAAAGTGGTAAATTTTATCTATGAACAAAGTTATAAGAAAAAATACTCAGCTACACATTGCTATACAAGAAATAAATGGTCTGTTCCAAAGATCGCTAAAATCCAGGAAACTCTCATTTGAGAAAATGACACTTCTATTAGATGTCACACACAAACTGTGAATGAGTCCTACATGGAGAAACAGCTTATTTTCAGAGCATCACATACTGCCAGTTCCCAAAAGAGCTTCTCCAGTGCTCTGCACAGCGCAGAACAGCAGTATGTTTTTGCAACTGTCAAACATTGGCTAGTTTAAGTAATCTGTCAATGAACTCACAGCCCATCTTATCTCCTGTTTCTGTCACATGTTATGTTTCTGTCACATGCTATTAGCAAGATCTAACAGGATCTCTGTTTAGGGTAGCCAGATCAGCTAGAAGTATTTTTTTTTTCTGATTTTATTTTATTTGAAAGGCAGAAATAGAAGGAGGAAAGACAGAGATCTTCCATCTGTTGGTTCACTCCCCAGATAAAAGTTAACAGCCAGGGCCGGGTTAGGCTGAAGCCAGGAGCCAGGAGCTTCCAGGTTTCATCCAAGCATTTAGGTTCATTTTGTGCTGCTTTTCCAGGTGCATCAACAGGAGCTGGATTGGAAGCAGAGCAGCCAGATCCCACAACTGGCACCCAAATGGGATGCCAGAGTCCCAGGTGGCAGCTGTAGCCACTATGCTGTATCACGAGCCCCATCCTGAACCGTTCTTTGATTTCAAAAAATATCCACTACATTTATGAGGTCATAAACAAAAACATCCATTCCTATAGAACAATTTTGACTTGGGGGTCAGCATTGTAACGCAGTAGGTTGAGCCACCATCATCTGTGACACTGGCATCCCAAACGGGCGCCAATTCAAATCCTGGTTGTTTTGCTTCCAGTCCAGCCGCCTGCCGATGCACCTGGAAGACAGCAGAGGACGGCTCACATACTCCAGTCCCCTTCCGCCTGGGAGAAGGTGGAATGCTGAGCTCCTCCCTTTCGCAGTCCCAGCTGCCGTGGTGAGTGAACCAGCAGCCGGAGGCTCTCCCTCGCCATGGCTCTGCCTTTCAGATATTGATGTTGAAAAAGGAAAGAATTGTGCACCAAGTCTTACTTCCAGGCAGAGTGGCCTTCAGACACACACTGACCACACTGACCACAGTGGGCGGGTGTGGGCCACCTTTCCACTTTTTGCTGCCAGGGTTCCTTTGTAATTTGGCTCCAGGGCCTTTTTTGGTTGAAGTACAAGGTTAAAAACTCTAGAGGCCCAAATCCTTGACTTCTTTCCCCAAAGACGGACAGTAACAATTTTCCTACAGTTCTAATCAAGACCAGAGGTGAGATAAGGCCGTCCTCTACCCCAGGCCATCATTCCATGGGACTGACTACTGATTTTCCAATGCACCAAAATAAACTGGGAAAAGACCTACAAAGGTACATCAAAAAGTTTGTGACACACACATACTATAAGGGGATTTCAATTTTTAAGCTTCTTTAACTCCATTAATTGCTCCAATACACTTTGCAAAAATTTCTCCAAGGATGTGCATTCCTTTTCTACAGTGGGCCACTGCAGTATTCCCCTCCAGATAATTCTCTAGATCAGCCTCACTACAGACTCACAGCGTCAGGTTAAGTCACTGCAGGAAGAGGAGATGACCTGTGCTTTGAGCTCATCCCAATAAAGGGACAGAGTTGTTTTTGAGGGAAAATGTCGAAGGCAGCTGGGTCATAGCACTGACATCTGAAGGCTTACTGACTTTCTGATAAAACAAACAGGAAGGCCCAGTGTGGTAACCTAGTGGCTAAAGTCCTCACCTTGCTCGCGGGAGGGATCCCATATGGGCACCGTTCTAATCCCGGCAGCCCAGCTTCCCATCCAGCTCCCTCTGCCTGTGGCCTGGGAAAGCAGCTGAGGACAGTCCAAACACTTGGGACCCTGCACCTGCATGAGAGACCCAAGAGAAGCTCCTGGCTTCAGATTGGCTCAGCTCAGCCGTTGCAGCCACTTGAGGAATGAATCATTGAACGGAAGATCTTCCTGTCTCTCCTCCTTCCTGTATATCTTACTTTCCAATAAAAATAAATATACCTTTTAAAAAAGAAGAGGAACAGGAAATACATTAGAGGAATACACATTCCCACTTGAAATCATGAAGGAAATTTTGTTCTCTTTAACTTCTGCTGGCATTTTTATTGTTAAATCCCAATCGTGAAATGCTATTTTGTCCTTAATACTTTAATATGTCCGACGGCTCAGACAGTAATACAGTAACCCTGCAGAGGTAAGGAAGGGCCCCCAGGAATCGAAAAGGATGATAATCATGCCACAATACGTACATACTTCAACACATCATGCTGTACAAGAACATAATGTTACCTATTCATTTAAAACAAATCCCTTTTCTACTTTCTTTAAAGCACGTGCGCGCGCGCGCGCGCGCGCACACACACACACACACACACACACACACACACACACACTGTCCATCCAGCATCACTTCATTTGTATTCTGGAAGTGAGGCTGATGAATCAATACAAACAAAAAATGCAGCCAAGACTGTCTGCTAGTCCCAAGCCCGACGGCTCGGCCTCACAGTTCAGCCCACACCCGCAAGCCGGCCTGCCTCTCGAGGCCTGAAGAGTTGCCAGTTTTAGGAACCAAGACCTGTGACAGGGACTACAGAGGAATGCCTTCACTATCATCTTGATGTTGTTAATGAAATAATCCATCTGAAGCTTTTTCTAAAATATAGCAACTACACAATACAGAAATGCCAAAGTAACTGCTTTTTACACCTTTACTGCTACAGCTAAAACCTCTATTTAGGGCCAGTGTTGTGGTGGAGTGCGTGAAGCTGCCACCAGCAATGCTGGCATCTCCGATGAGAACCAGCTCAAGTCCCAGCTGCTTCAATTCCAAACCAGTTCCCCACTGACGCGCCTACGAAAGCAGCCGGGACTGGCCCAAGTCCACGTCCCTGCACCCACGTGGGAAGCAGACTTGGATGGAGCTCCTGGCTCACTCAGTGCCAACCATCATCTGGGGAGTGAACTAGCAGGTAGAAGATTTGTCTTTCTTGGTCTCGCTCTCTGAAACTCTTTCATACAAATAAAACAGATCTTAAAAAAGAAAAAAAAAAATCAAGTCATCCTGAACATGACACCAGGAGAGTTTACAAACAGGCATAATCCAACATGTTAACAGCCAGCCACAAATCAAAATGAAAATAGATCTCATCTCACAAAATGTAGTCATTTCCCTAACATGGTGACTAACAGTTTATAATAACTGCTTGCTCACATAAAAATCACTTAACAAAGCATACACAAAATATTTTATAAATGTTAGCTATTATTAAACTAGTGGAATTTAATGAATAAAGACAAAAATTCAGTGATTGGAGATGAACATCTCAGAAGCAGAGGCAAACAGACACATGCCTCCTGGTGAGGGTGCATGCTCCCACTCTCAATTTTTTTTAGACTGATTTATTTTTATTGGAAAAGAAGATTTACAGAGAGGAGCAAGAGTAAGATCCTTTGCCTGCTGGTTCATTCCCCAAGTGGCTGCAACGGCCAGAGCTGCGCTGATCCGAAGCCAGGAGCCAGGAGCTTCTTCTGGGTTCCCCATGTGCATGCATGGTCCCAAGGCTTTGGACTGTCCTCTGCTGCTTTCTCAGGTCACAAGCAGGGAGCTCACTCATGCTTACACACACACACGTAACAATACTGGACACAATCAAGAATTTAGATCTAACTTTGCATTTAGAGGAAACACAGAAGGCAGACAATGTGGGAAGTACCACCACAGGAACACAGCAAATTCCAAAGTGAAAATAGTACATTTTTTTTTCAAATAAATTATTAGGGAGAAGCCAGAAAGAGGACTTTTTAAACAATTTTAAATATGGCTTTATGTGGATCCAGATTTGAATATTCAATTAAAAACACTAAAAAGTTCTCACTTCTGTTGGGAGGCTTACATATAAATTAGCTCAAAAGCAGGGCCCCATGAGGCACTTCAGGGCCAGCACCATGACATGACAGGCGAACGCTCCACCTGCAGCGCTGGCATACGGTATGGGTGCCAGCTCCTGTCCCAGCTGTTCCACTGCCAATCCAGCTCCCTGATCCTATGGCCTGGGAAAGCAGCGGAGGATGGCTCAAGTTCTTGGGCCCTTGCACCCATATGGCAACCTGGAAAAAGCTCCTTGCTTCCAACTTTAGATCAGCTCAATTCAGGCCACTGCAGACATCTGGGGAGTGAACCAGCAAATGGAAGATTTTTCTGTCTCTCATTCTGTCTGTACAATCTGCCTTTCAAATAAAAACAGATAAATGTTTTAAAAAGCATTCCTCTACTAATTCTAACAATGGTATATTATATACACACACACACACACACACACACACACACACACACTTCACAACTATCTCCAGTTACTATCAATTCCTTTAGTGCCAACTAACTGTTTTTAAAGTATTCTGAAGACTATCATTTACAGGGGAAAAACCTAGTGCAGCATGATACCACTACAGGCCACGTTTAACAATGTAAGACAAATCCAATGCCCCTGTACACGCTGGCCTTTATTGTAACACAGAAAATTTTAAATGCAGATGTAATTCCTTGTCTCTCTGCAACTTGTATTATAAAAAGGCTAACCTATAGGTACAAAATCTGTATCAAGAGGGTTACTTATCTGAAGAAAGGTTCTTCATAAATATATAATAAAAATCATGAGGCTATATTTTATTTATGAGAAAGCTGGATGCATTATTTATGAAGTTTTCAGAAACACCAAGGTCATACATAGGAAGGGATCTGAGTTTTGCTAAACAGCTATCCTGCCGACATGTGGGTGAAGATTTTTTTTTTCCCATAAGGAAACAAGAAAACCAACAGTGAAAGTTGCAAGGAGAGAACGCTGATGTTGATATTTGTTGGTGGAAGCTCAAGGAAAGCGAGGG